CTCGCAAAAACTTGACCGTCAGTCCTGTTCAGTGTGTTTTTCATTTGACCATCTCCAATTCATTATTCTGTTTTAGGAACAACCTCGTCCTGAGTACGAGGCAGTAGCGATGGAGAGCCGTTTGAACCCCATCACGAAAGTGGAAGAGCCTTTCATATCGCTTGGGAGGAAAGTGCCCAGATTTATTTGTAGTTTTAGTTTCATCATCTTCATGGTAAGAACTGGATAATGTTTAATAAGGCTCAATGTGATTTTGGCCAGGTTTAAACCGAGATAATGCAGCAGTTTCACCAGAGCCTCGCAACGGCATCGATGTGCATTACTACCTACCGCGCACCGGTTTGTTGGTGTTGCGTTGACAGGTGCCTGGAGGTTGGCTGCGGCTTGATTGCTGGGAGATTGCTTCCCTCCTATGGTGTCAACTGTTCGCATCCACCCACCCACCCACCACCTTGATACTATTGGGCGTCGCTACTCGTACGAGGCGAAACACTCATATTACTGCAACGATTTGACCTTTTCAAATCTAGATTTACCTGAATTCTGTAGCCCTGGCGTCTTTTACAAGCTAGTTATAACCGACAGAAAAACTGGCTTTTGGTCACCGGTATGGCTCGTAGTGTTTTATTAAAGAGTATAAGAGGTGCAACAGCGAAGCTCTGAATTTTGATCTATAGTATTATGGTCTTTGTATCGCAGCTGGCGCTTGTCGTCATCACCGTGTTTGCTGTTGTAGTATACCGTGTTGCAGTATACGCGGTGTTAGCCGCACGCAGCGACTACAACATGAGAGCTGTAAACATGGCCACGTCCGGCACTGCAGCTCTCCTAAATCTCATTACCATCATGCTCCTCAACAAGGTACCCGCATAAACTTATCTTATTCTATGGAGACGGTACACAACTAGTAAACATCTTGAGGTAAATTTTTGTTGTCTGCCCTATCATGTAGATGTTCGTTTGCGACTCTTACACAGCGATGATTCCTAATTGAATGAGCAGATATTAGTTAACCCTTTAACTCCCAGAAGTGATGAACATGTAACCTCTCAATCAGATCTTGGGAGTTAGAGGGTTAACAGTAGAAGTTCAGCGGATGGTTTTATACCTTGGAGTAACAACTGATCATTTAGTGTGATCCTCAGGTGACTTCTTTTTGTTAATTATGTTATTTTATCTCCAGGTTTACGAAAAACTGGCTGAGATTTTGACACGATGGGGTACGTGTGTAGAAAATGAATTGACCTTCATTCATGCCTTAAGCTATTGACCACTTTACTGATATTGAATCATCAGTGCATCCGATCTTTCAACTGACCTTAACCGTACTACTGTACTCGTGCACGTTGTGGTCATTACACATTACATAAGAATTTTTAAATTTAAAATTAGTAGCCGAATCCTTCCGTACTTCTAAACTGCATTGGCATGCGGCGTCGAAAGCTAACGAAGTAGGAGGCAATGAGGATAGGGTTAAATTCATCATCTGTTTTTATTTCAGAGATGCCTCGCACCCAGACGGAGCTTGAAGACATCTTTTCATTTAAGATGTACCTTTTCCAGTTTGTGAACTTCTATTCGTCACTCTTTTATATTGCTTTTTTTAAACTCAGGTGAGTTTATGTCATGAGTAATCTAATGGCAACAATGGGAAAAAAGTTACTTAGAGTTCTCCTAAGAAAGAAAACTCAAAATCGTAGACATTTTCGATTGTCTGGGATGACTGACGACAAATCGGTTAAATCGAGAGCGCTTTTTTTTTTACTGACGCAACCCAGATTTTTGCGATGATCCGCGATTACTGAAGGTTAATGAAAACTCCTATTTTGAACTGTCGTTAGTTTTAATTTGCTACCATTCCTTGGCTTCTGTAGCCTCGAGTCCCAAATGAAGTGGTGTCTGTTCTATTTTTCGCCAACCATCTGACAATCGGAATGTCTACGATTTCAAGTTTCATTAATTAGAAAACTCTGGAATCATCGAGAAATATTGAAATCACCGACTATCCGGGATTTTTCCCGCCAGCCTTAAGTGTCATTGTTTTTCTCACGATTTAGGCTCTTCGAATGACATGCAGATCGTGATCTTCCCTCAACTATTTGCTGTTGCACGGTTCTGCTGTTGTCTTGTTTCTTTGTGATGCTGTGTTGT